AAGTACAGATACCCAAAAAAATCTATTTAAGTACTGCAACAAAGTATTTGTACTTAGTTACTTTACAACTTTCATGGATTGACAAACATACAGAATGTGTCAAATCCTGTAGTTTTCTTAGAACAAATGTTACATCTGCAAAAAAATATATATTCAGAAATGATTTTGCTGTCACATTTAGGACTTATAACAGGCAGTTTCTCACAGATTTTTTTCATTCATCGCATTGAAACACAAACTTTGCTGTGATAAAAATGAAATAATCTTATTAATAAGTGTGACTGCTCAGATGTGAACGCAGCACCACAGAACAGATAGAAACAGGTAAAAAGGAAGAAAAATCAGARGAGTGTAAAGAATCCAGCAGACAGTTTAGACTATTTAACTTCCTTCAAGGAGAAACTTAAAATGAATCATTTTTATATAAACTGAATCAGATATACGATTKATTTAATCTGGCTGTAAAACTGAGATTAAAACTTTTAATGACTTTAACCTGAGTTTATTACAGATGTTTCCTTCTATAAATGTGGAGTTTATTTCTACAGACTTTTTAAATMAACACATTTAAGAGGAAAGTGTGTAACCTGTACCTTTCATCTGATTTGTAAATAAAATCATAAAAGACTTGCTTTTATTTGTAAAAACTTGTTTTTTTTTTGAAGATTTTTTAGACAAACTGATAAAACAACAAAACATTTTGCCCTCAGGAAGGCCTTTGAGTAAACCTTTCTGCATCACTTTGCTTCATAAACCCTTCAGCTAAAATTAAACAGATAATCTGATGAGAGAAGTTCCTCAAAGTGAAAAGACGAGACGGAGAGCTGAGGATCGGGGCAGGACGGACAGATTCTTGTTTTCCAGCTGGGAAGAGACAAACATCCAGAGAGAAACAGAAGGGAGGATTATGGACTTAGTTTGGGAAAGAAAAATAAAATGAACAGCAGAGAGAAAGATTCCAGCAAACAGACAGAAAAAAAGCTACAGACGAGTCTCTGAGCCTCTAATGGGACGAGATGGAGGGATAAAAAGAGACAAATGGAGGGATAAAAAGAGAGAAATGGAGGGATAAAAAGAGAGAAATGGAGGGATAAAAAGA